TATTTTTAACTGCATGGTCAAGTAAATTCTTTCGATACCCCATTTATCGCAGCCGCCAGGCTTTTCCATTATGCTTTGTTTTCCGAGAGAATCATGCATCTCTTAATGAAGACAGACGTATTCTTCGATTTCTGACTGTCACTTTTAATGCTCTTGCCTGCGGATGCCAACTCGGCTTGGAAGGGGCTACAAATTTGAGGTTTTGCAACATGCTCATATAATGGCAGAGTATGCTGGTCATGATATCAACGAGCTTAGCGACATCTTTTAGTTTAACCAGTAGTTAAATCGTTGCTTGCGCATATTTCGGTTACCTTCTCCGCAACTGCTTATGCCTCGGAGTTATACTGCAGCTCGTCAGAGCATGTTAAGGCTGCTTCAGTATGCGCAATCCGTAGGCCTGCTAGATGGCATCGGATCTTATCTCAGGGCAGGTCTGTTTGAGCCCATTATTCTCTCTCCTTGAGACTAATAGATGCATTTGCTCTAATCCGCCGTCTTGTTATTCTATTCGGCGGCATCACCGTCGAATGTACTTCTGCGAAACTGCATGACAACAAGGTATACTATCGTCTAAACTCTGTTAAAATCAGATTGATATAAGACTACTGTGTTTAAAGAGAGAATCTTATAGAGTCTCGAGGATTTTACTATGTACTTTTGGCTTGGTCTGCATGGTTTTTTTAGTATCCACCTCCCTATGAAATGCGATAAGTCAGTTGCAGATAATTATACATTAATCATATTTTTTTATCACGGACTGAGAGGCGGTGATAGGTGCGTAATTGTCTGTAAATACACTGTTCTTCAGATGACTAGACTAGAGATGCCGTAACAAATTTAAAAAAGATTCCATCGTTTACCGCTACAGACTAGCAACTGCCAAATGATGTACCAGGTTGGCTCAAAATGAAAAATTGCGAGAGAGGTTGAGTTTCGGCGAGTTTCAGAATCGAAACTTATAACTATAAAAGATGTACATGTAAACTTTACAAATACAATAGCCTCAACAATTCGAAAGTGCTTACGTCACAATTAGTAAATTAGTAACGTATAAAAATATAAACAATAAAACAGTAAAACTGTTATGAACGATGAATTCTGCTAAAAAATAAAAATCTCTGAAAAGAGACGTTAAATTGTTTGATTTAAACTCAATTAAAGTTTACGATGCACAGCACAAACAGTATGAAGAAAGTTACGCCGAGAGGAAAATCATTCTTTATGCTTTCGTATTTCTTTGGCGATCATGTCCCTAATCCAGCCAACAAAGTCCACATTTTCGTGTTTAGACCTTGTGATAAACGGGTGCATCTGAAAATACATGCCAATGCATTAACGAATGCTATCGAACAGCTAGGCCAGACGAAGTGTTACCATCAATGTGTTCATGTTAGCTCTCTCGATTGGGTTCTTACGTAAACTATATAAGTCATGAGTAAATCGAAAACGCAACGACAATCATATAAAAATCAAGCTTACCACTTGTCAGTAAAATCAGTGAACTCGTCCGAAAGCAGACCCCTAGGTAACGTAGGAGCTGGCTCATTGACAATGTAATCAAGAAGTTCAAAAATGGCCATGCCTCGAGGGCTTGCTGCAGCCTCCTCCCCGCCATAACTTCGTCCTTGAAATATCACTTGCTTATAGTTGGCAAAATTAAAAGAAACGCAACGAAAAGTAATAACGCGTCTTGAAAAAATACACAGAGAAGCAAGCAAAGTTTGATGTATATCTGACGACAACTCATTCGATCAGTACTGACATCTGTCATAGGATCTATACCGAAAAGGAACCGCTCTTAAATGCGTCTGAGCACCATTCCTGTAGCGCAATACACGGCTAGACATTAAGTTATCCGACGACCCTACAAATCTGAAAAAAAATATTCTGTCTTTCCCTCGAGTAAACTTCATAAACTACAATTTTCTTTCTTCGCTCACATTCTAAAAAAGAAAAATCAACTCCTAGTTGACATAGTGCCAAATTCATTCTGAAAAGTCAATGCTAATTCTCTCAGAGACGAACTGATAATGAAGAAACTTAGCTTCATCCATCGAACTTGCAAATTAAGTCAATGGTCAAGGGTTGCATAAGATAGCACAACCGCTGTGCACGACAAATCAGTAAAAAACTGTTATATGCAGAGTAGGGATGTCATTATCATTCTGTCAGTCACTAATCAATCAGTTAATCTACCATGTATCCTGTTTTTCGACGTAGCCTTTTCATGTTCCTCTGAAACCGATAAATCTTCCACTCGCTTTTTGAACGTATCTGCCAATTCCTTTACGGTAAGCAGCGGCAAAGGATACCTAAACAGAGACACCTTAAGTCATCTATAACCAGATCTGGTGATTTCATTCATTATGCTTCACTAGATATCGAAGAAAATTTGGCGACGCGTTCAGTAAGGTAACAAATAATCGGTCTTCTTGAGTAAGGCAGTTATGCGGCGCTAACACCAAATCGGCGAGATCAACAATCGTTAATGAATAATCATCCACCTACTTAATATTCATATGGTCTAGGTGGAAAATTTATTCGACATCTAACAAGAAGTCTGCAATCAAACAGAACTCGAGCTTCGCGTAATCCAGCGTCGTGACTTACGACAAAATGCTGCGGATCATCGATGTCTTACTATTTTTTTAATTTATTAACTGCTACTCTTCTTTGGTTTCCGAATTTCCGTCAACATAAATTCTTCAAGTTTTTCTACGTGTGAAGCGAAAATGTCATGTTGTCGAAAAGAACATCACCAGATTGTAACCGTAACGTAAGCAGCTATTTGACATAGAAATTTTCTGTGACACAAGGTCTGCGAAACAACAAAGAAATGATTAAAAACGGCACTATGCTTTCAATGACCTGAGCGATATTTTCTATTCAATGATTAAAATCTCAGTTTAGTACTAGCTTTCAACCCTCCACCTCAATTCTTGGCGTCCTACGACAAGAATCGCAGCTATCCTCCAAAGTCACCGAGCCAACTCCGCAATAGGTCTCTTTGCCCTGTATAGATTCGACAGGACGAGAAAATTCATGTAGTGACGTCAACTCCCAAATTTAAGACAACTGGAGCGAAGTTGTATGTGCTACATTATCAAACGAGAACGTGGACTGACTAATGAACTGCTATTAGTTTCCACCGCGATTTGGTTCCGTTTCTTCTCCATGTGCTTCTTACAGAATCTGTTTACAGAACCCAGCTGTAGGACTAACTCACTGACCGATTTCTCAATATCTTTATTACTTCGAATTTGACAAAACAGTTCGATAAGTTTGTAGACGTTAATTTGGGTTTTTGGTCGCTCACCATTTGCAAGCTTGCCAAGCCATATTAAGTGCAATGAGGCACTGCTCAAATGCGTCATGGTGAGGAAGCCATATAAGAATAAGCAGAAAGACAATTCCTGAATCGTTCACAGAAAAATTTCAAAACTTACTGTCCCACTGCGAGTTCGACCAACGACAGTCCGAAGCTCCAAATGTCTGACTGTATGCTGTACTGACTACCGGTCAACCGCTCAGGCTACAGATAGATCCAGTAATGAAACAACGACAAGTCAACTCGCTTACCGCCATGTAGGACCTCGTTCCAACAAAGGAGTTGGCTGTACTGTTGATCAGTTGACCGGACACACCAAAATCACAAAGTTTAATTTCACCCTGACTATTTACAAGAATGTTTGATGGTTTCACGTCTAAAAAATTGAATTGCATCTGTTACAAAAAAGGCGTACTTAACAAACGCAAACATTAGTGTTCAGCAACCGTTCTGGCGGCCATATTTTCGCAACAAGGAATTGTTACCATATTTTCTCTTCCAGGAGTGCCTGAGAGGACTCGTAAAAATATTACTTAATATTACTGTCATTTTAATGACTTGCAGGCAAATTTGTATTAATTCACTCATTTGTTCTTCCATGTACAGTCGCTTTCTCTCCAGTTTAATGATGTATTTCATGTTTTTTCTGTATGCATTATGTGCCTCGAACAACTGAAACCAGGTAACTACTATCAGAACTCAAGTTTTAAACGCTTGAAGAAAGAATAAACTTACATAAAGGGACGGTAAATCAACATTGCTGAAAAAACGCAAACAAGCATTGTAAAGAAAACTACTAGCAGGTTTACATAAGATGAAACAACGGCTGTCACTTTTTAAAGGCAAAGCCTAAGACAACTCCGTATTTACCGCGATGAAGAATGTTCAGCTTCTCCTTCAGGTACTGAAGACCGTTTAAAACCTAGATGGCCATAGCAATATTAGTTCAAAAATATGAACAATATTAAGCTTACCGCTATGCTAATTTTTCCTAAAATTTTTTCTGGTATACGCCCAGCGTTTTTAAGGACAATATCGAGCGAAAGTCCGTCCTAAACAGTAACATCAAAAAAGGTTAGCGAAAAGCACAGAAGTCAAAATGAACTACGTCAAATGTTGGTTACAAGAAAAAAATTTCATAACAACGGATCTGTCTTTAAAAAAATCAAGAACCGCGGAGACAAAAGAACAACCACTATCAATGATATCCTTGTCATGAAATTTGAAGCCAACCCTTTGCAACTGTATGCGATTTTATTGGCATGATCAACGTTTATTTCTATTCCTTTCTCGATGTTATCAGCTCAGCGTTGTCTGTCTTCGGTTAGGTCTAGTGGTCCCTATCCAAAAGTCATCATCTTCGGTTTAAATGGTAGAAGGCATGACAGGCAGATTGCACTATGCTTTATTTGGATATTGACTTGAACCGTGAAAACGACTGACTAAGCTGCGAAATGTTTTTTTTAATGTTTCACGATGACAATCCTGTATTAATGTTTTCTGCCCAGGGCAATTTCACTTACGTTTCCAAGCTAACATTAAGGTTCAGCCTGGTTTATGATTTGTAGACAAGCGCGACACAGCTTTGATTTTCATAGTCTTGCCGATTAGTCTACGGCTGGCTACTGTATACTTAAAAGACCGTTCAGAAACGTTCACATTCACATCCTCATCGATCAACTAAGTAGGTAAGGGGTATCATGAAATAATCCAGGGAACAGATCTATATCAACCCTTAAAGCAAACCTAACGAAGGATAAACTATCTGTAAACACAAAAGGGCAGAGTGAGTAACACAATCCGAGTTAATTCCTGAAGAAACCATGGTGAAATGTATCCACAATGACGTTTACCTCATACTTTCGGTGTCATTTCAGGGATCGTCACCTGCAGTACAAAGGGTGGACGACAAAATGAAAATAATTCTTTAAGTTCCTTTTAAGAATTAAAAAGGATGGTAAACTCAATCATTCCGTTTAACTTTATGAAAAGATCATATTTCCAGACAATGCCTTAACCTGATTCAAGTCGATGTTTGAGAAGATATTAGAACTATTACTCCCTGAAGGATTGAATCTGACCATTCATCATTCGTTGCGAAAAAACTAGGCAGGATTTCAGACGTGATGCTCATGTAAGCACAACATGGTGATTAAACGGATCATCGAACAAGAATGGGCTTTTACTTATTTCGGCAGACAACTTTACCGGTTTTTCGTGCAGCCTTCAATTCAATTCATCGCTAGATAATGTGGCGCGATATGTTATTCGACACTATCGAGAATCCACAAGAGACGGCAAAACTGACAAATAGATTTTACCAATGGACGTATGTAATATGAGGATCGTAAAGACGCTGTGGAGAAGAACACCGACGAGGCACCTTCTCATCTGTTATATTGTGCACTGCAGGACCATGCGATGCGGAAGCACAACAAGGGATTTAATTTACAAGCCACAATTCCGAAATAATCTTGATCTAGAGAAGGATCGATTCCCCAGCAACAGGATCAATGATCTTCGTGGTTCGAACCATGTCCAGCCGTGGGCATCAACACACCAGTAATCCGTCAAACAAACCTATTTCGCCACCTTTCATGGAGATCGCATCATTTCGCGAATGTCCAACATTCATAACCGTAAATGAAGGTAAATACGCAAAATGACTTAAAAACAGATAGCTTCGCATTATTGGTCAGTTTTTCTTCATCACAGCGACTAACCGGTTTAAATTTCGCTTTCCGGACGATTCGTATGTCTATTTCTATGTCATGTCCGTTATCATCTGACCTACACTCGATTTAGCTGCAGAGCACACTGAATGGCTACTCCCAGATGCCTCAATATTTGAAAGCTTGATTTTCATCCCCGTATCACTAAATAATATCGAATCAGCCAACTGAAATTAAGTGATCCGCGTAAGAGAAGGTGAACATGGCTAGACCACCCGCAAACAGCAGACAACTGAGTCGACCTTTCCATTTCTGACGTTCTCTGTGCCCACGATACTTCTTCTGAACCAGTTTATAAAAATCATGAATAGGAGAGGACGACAGTCTTTTCTCCCAGGACAGCAACAGGCCGTATTTATTTTATAAAATGACGTGATGTTGTAGTATGCACGAGAGGTAGGATGATTCTGTATTAGTTTCTGCAGTCATTGGCGTTTCCTTAATAATTCCGACCGCTGTTTTAGAATCTCCGAAATTACTACTCACTATAAGTAACTAATTTGCATCCGATATATCACTATCGTACTGTTTCGGCAGTAAGGCTACAGATTCGCGCACGGCTGCACCACTGACTTCGAAGCAGGTTAACACAAATTGAAGCAAGTGCGAAGACGTCAAACTATCGCTAGAATCCTGCTCGCAATGGAGAAACTGGGTGTACACGAAGTCGCTGAAACAGGTATGCACATCGGATGGAGAACAATGGACATGATTTGCGTACAGTCGGACCGACCGCGACTAAAAAACATGTTGCTAAGACTTCAGTTGGTGATCAAGGATCAATAATGAAAATCGCAGAGCAGCAGTAATGTTTGCCTTCTGCTGAAGCTGTCGTCCATAAAAAAGAAGTTCTCAAATTTTGCTTGTTCAGAATGCAGCGATGCTAAAACTCAAGGGAAGCAGTCGTGATAGAGGGTCTGAGCTCATTAATGGGATTTGTATGCCGGCCATCTGATTTACAACTTGGAATTCTCCACTAATAGCACACCATCGATTCATTTTTTGGAAGTACTAAACGTCGTCTCGTGCAAGAATGTGCTCGGAGCTGAGTCAGAACAGCATCATAAGGAGGCGACAAAAACAATTTTCAGGAAATGAGGAATCTCTGAGTAAAACACTGGGCTAACAGACAACGGTTGCTTCTGAGAAGAGTTGGAAATGGCTCTCGGACGTTTCCGTTAACGAAAGGAAGAACATGGCGTCAAGCTGCGAGTCCCGAACATCCGACCAGTATCCAACATTACAACTATGGCTACAGAACACATACAAAAGTGTTACAATCTCAGCGGCATAACTGACCTTTACCAAACTGCGTCAGCCTAACAAGCGATGAAAAATCTGTTTTCAATATAGCAGGTTGCTGACGACAACCATCCATGTGTTTTTCCATCCAGTTATACACTTCGCACGGCTGCATACAACGAGTATGATTAAACAACATTAACAGACAATATTTTAACGGCAATCATAAGAGCCTGCATGTGATTTAAAAATTAACAGCTCGTTATTCTCTAAGTTGCATCCCGGCGGGCATTCATGCCGCCAACAAGAACTGAACTGAATCGAAAATCGGTGATGTCTATCTAGTTCGTACGCTGGTAGATTCACCTACAGCTACGAGTCAAATCTACCATACAATTAACTGGAACCACAAAGTGACCCAGTGTATATGTGCTGAAAGAACTGTCAGCAAAAAGGACAAAGCTGCGTAGCTCGAACATATGTGAATACTGAATAATAATTACCATATACTCCATACAAATGGAGATCTCGCCGTCTGAGTAAAAGGCACCATAAAATCCGACGATGTACGGACTATTGCAGTAATGCAGCACCTTTAGCTCTTTGATGATCTGGTTACGCGTACTCGGCTTCACCTCCAGGCGAATCAACTACAAACAGTACGATGAGAAGAGGCGTTGCTGAACTGCGGATGCTGAAAGACGCAATACTGCCAAGTCGACAGCCACCGCCATGCGCTGCCCTGCTCTGCCCCAAAAACAAACACATGCTCACCTTGCGGGCCATGATGATGCCCGATGGTCGATGCCGAACTTTGACCACAACGCCGCCGTTGCCGCAGCCAAGATCACATATCTTCTCCAATTCATCGCCGTTCAGCTCGCCGATCTGAAAGCGAGTAAATAACGTCGATTCGATCCGACCGTGTGCAATTTGATGCGCCTACCTTTTGCTTGCCTATGAACCACTCGTGCATTCGCTTCCTCTGATTCTCGGTCAGACTCAACTGCTCAATCTGGCGGTCGATGCTGAAAGGACTGTTCGTATCCTTCCCGCCACCACTACCACCAACAGACTGTGTGGATGAATTCCTGGAAAACGCCAGTTAAACATGAACGAGCGAAAACTGACGACGCCATCCGGCCTCCTCCGTTTCCAGTTACAGCCTCTAGCGCCGTTCACTCACTCATCACCAATGCCTCCATCTTCAGAAACAGTTGGAGGTAGCGTCAGTCCCTTTATGTTGCGAACCTTGCCCAATGCCGTCATTTCGTCACCCCAATTGCTGTCGCATGCTTCCGGTCGAACCACGGATGCAAATTAAGTCGTTCGACCACGTTCGTCGTCAAACGTGCTTTGTAACACTCACCGACGTAAAATCCGTACGTAAGATTCGGCTAAACCGATAACCGGATCTTGGCAAATAAGCCAAACAGTAGCGCTTTGCTAAATTTGCTGCTGATCATTAAGGATGCTATATTTATGATCAGCAGGTTATGTTTAAACAAATTAACGATTTACTTTATTATATGCAAAATTCGAAATCCAACGAAATAAATTTTCAAATATTACTTCCGCATAAAAATATGTCTATATATGTACGTATTTACACACGCATACGCGATAAATTTTTGAAAATTTTTTTAAATGGCAAGTATCATATGACTTCCTTCCGGTTCGATTATTAGCGACGCGCCGAAGAAAATATATATGATTTTACTTCTACATATGGCCAACCACCGAATTGCGAAGAATGGTGAATTTCGGTTTTCATCTTTCATCACCGCTTCTCCTTTTAGCTCGCAGAGACAGATACATCAAACACTGCTTCCAACGTTCCCAATCCTATGTCAAAGTTTGAGATCCGGCAGAAGCCAACCGTGGTCTGGTGCAGACTCTTTCCGTATTTGCACCAGGTTAACCTTCACCTTTTCGTGGGCATTCTGTTGATCGGTTTGGCAAGAAACGCTTCCCTCGTCTTCCTTTCTGGATGTATTCGCAACACGTGCTCAAACTATGCCCCCTGTGACTCCCAATTCTGAAGAAGCAGCGGCTGTACACCAAGGTTTTCGCGGATTCCG